AGGCACACCAATGATTGGATATGATCTACGGCCATATTGCAAAGTGGCGGTTGGAGCGCTATTCGATGCGGATTAAGAGCCAATGACTTTATAATCGGAAATAATACCTCACAACGGTCTAGCCCCAATCAACCGAACTGGAACATCCCCTCCAACTCTTACGGCTGAGTGCCGAAGCTATCGAAGAGCTAATGGCAATGGATCGTTAGCCCCCGGGGTCCAGCTCCCCACCAGTTGGTTGATTGCCGTTTGCCCTAGATATGGCTGATGAGCTCCAAGGACAAGTGCCCATACAGAGCCCATGATCGTCTTCTGACCAACCTAGATCGGGACTCAGACGAGATATCTGTTTTCAGTGTAACTGTAATACTAATCAGGAAGAGGAAGTGGCAGAATAGGTACCTAAAGGTCCTATACTGTCACTGCCTAGTACCTAGTACCTACACTGTTAGTACTGTCCACGATTTTGACTTTGTCTTCTCGTGTGGGAAGCTCCCGACGGCAGACCCTCGGTTCCGACGCCATACGGTCAAACTCCGAGACGTCGGAAATGACCCTGTATCTTATAGGAAGTAGTACAGAACAATACCTGTAAATCACCTCCTCAAGGTGACCGGATGTTTCTGTCATCCAGGCGCTATTCTTAGTGTCCTTCTCACTCGAGCATACATGATTCATGCTATCAGAGATTCAAATGTTCTGATACGTCATTACTGAGGTGGATAGCGTATATCTACGATGGATGCCGGCTTTGTTCCCAGATCCAGCCGTCTCCGGCTTGTTGTTTCAGATATCGAGGCGCAACGCCAAGGTATTCAGAGTCTTGACAAACATGCTTGCGAAGGCCTCCGCATATGAGACAACTCTCCGTCCGGTCGGCAAGGATTTAAAAGAAAGCGGATGCTTGTTTGTCTCATACGAAGCCAAGGTCGCGCAGTGACCGAACGGACATCACGTGATTGTGTGTTACATAATCTCACGTGATGAGCACCTGACGTCCAAACAATGATTGCGGCTAAAGTTGTCTTCCGGGATCAACAAGTTCGAGGACAGACCATGTCACGATGTCGAGCAATAATGACGGGGTAGTCAACTCTATTACTGTATGAATTGAAGCTTCTACTTCGCTATTTGTGCTATGCTCCCCGCAACGCCCGAGTATCAAGCAAATCAAGCAAATCGATCTGGAACATGACTTCTTCCGAACAATGGGGGATTTTCCTCCATCGATGCTTGTTGCATCGAATCGACGCAGCAGAGTTCAAAAGCCTATCGCGACTACTGTTGCAGCGCTGCCCAATCACTGAAGCCCTGCTGCTAGATGTGCTACTTGAGACGCGACTCAGCACAGGGATCAAGTGGGACCCGCTTCTTCCGTTGTACATAGACTGCCTTTGCAAAATGGGCCTCGTCCAGACGTCGACCGTGTTGAATGCCCTTCTGAAGTATTCTTCAATCCACGACAAACATCAATCGTCATCAGTGGAGGCGTATCCGGGCAAGAAGAGTCGAAAATGCTACACTCTTATGACAGACATCCGAGTCATCCAGGATGCTATGCTGTCCGTCTCTACCGGCAGTGTCCCCAAATCATTTTCAGAAGCGATATCGATTTTCACCGCTATCATCGACTGGATCCAGGCTGTTGTGGCCTGGAACAGCAGTAATATTGATTCCGGTGATCAAAGCCCAGGCTTGATCAGTTCTCCCGACACTGTTTCGCTTTTCGAGTCCTTGGGTATCTTGCTTGCTGCTTTGTCGGGCACTACGAAAGGACTGGAGGTCCTTTCGGCCGACTCGCAGGAAGGTAGGCTCAACGATTCATGCTTTACTATCCCACTACTGACGGGATAATACAGCCTTGAAGGTAAAATTGGGACAGGCTCTGTCGGCATATCTTCCCATCTGTGTGGAAGTATCACTCCCACTACGTAATCGACTTGACAGCCTGCAGAAAGCGTTCAACCTTTATGGTGAGCCGCCGGCTAAGCCGTTGGATGTCTCGATGATGGAAGGTGTCAACGTCAATGCGCTTCAGTTTGAGGCGTCAGTTATGGACAGTCCTATGATCAATTCGAGAGCTGGCCTCTTCGTCTATATCAATGCGATGGTACGTATAGATCACTCACGTTTAATAGCCGAGTACTAACTAGATTCTAGCTTGTAGGACGTCCTTTGGTTGATGACAGCATGCTTCTGAACTACCTGTCTAACAGATATGGGGTGAGTGGGTTGTCCAAGGCGCAGCGCTACAATCACACTAACTACAACAGGGTCATTATGAAGTTCTTATTGAGGAAACCATCACTGCAGCTTTTGACGTGCTTTCTAACGCAAGCTACCGTAGCGAGTCCAACCGGTCGATGTTTCTATTCCGATCGTTCCTCGTGAACAAGCTACCTGCCTTTTTTGCAGCTATGCTGGCAGCATCTATGGTTACCTTACCGATGGAACTATGTATCAGTCATGCGCTGGGTCGACTAGATCCAAATACGTTTCCATCCTTTTCGCAGATGTTTACCATGCAGAGCAATACTGCTCTTTCGGACGTGAGGCAGGAATTTCTTTTCGCATGCGCCTCGCACAAATTGATCCCTGAATCCAGCATCGAGCGACTTCTTGGAGAGAATCCCATGCAAACACTCCCTGTAGGGGGACCGTATAACAAAGATGATCTTGTCAACCAGATCAATGCTAATCCGGAACGAGCCGAGCACTTGATAGGTGAGATTGAGTCGATGGAGGGAAACGCCGGTGCAATTGTTGGCGCGATCATCGAGGTACGGACCCTCGAACCCTTTTGGAATTTGTAGAACCTTAGCTGACATGCCCAGGTCATGCACAATCTTTGCAATCAAAAGGAAACGATGACATTGAAGAATATTTGTAACTCGCTCTCTCGCCGGCCGCAGGCTATGGACGTCATTCTGTTGTTTCGAAGCACAAAGCAGGTGCTGCAACCGTTGTGCTCATTGCTGGATGCCTGGCATTGGGATGAGGATCAAGGAGAAAGCCAGCCTGTTTACGACGAGTTTGGTAGCATCTTACTGTTAGTGCTCGCCTTCACATATCGGTATGGCTTGCGAGCACAGGACCTTGGACTTGGTGGCAGCAATTCATTTGTTCTGCAAATTCTTGGGAGTGGTTCATGCAGTCAGAAGCTGGATTCTCTGAGCGACAAGCAAAACAAAAACTTGGGGGGCTGGATCACGGCTTTATTCATCGCCGAAGGCATCAGCGAAGAGACAATGTCGGCATGTAGTCCGCAAGAGTTCTATCTTCTTGTTGCTACTCTATTCAGCCAAAGTCTTGGAGCGTGCGAGGCCGGGAAATTGGAATTTGACACACTCAAAGGTGGATCTGAATGTAATGCATTCCCTCCTTCAACGTGTGTTCTGCCCTGAACTGACACAGACCAGATCTACTCGAACCGTTTCTTCTTCCATCGCTTGTTCTGGCCTTAAATTGGCTGGGTAACCACATATGGGAAACGGAAGGCGACCCATCGATCCCCTTAAAAGCTTTACATTCCTTGATCAATCCCACCTCGATATCAGGCGAAGCCAAAGAGATACATCGCACCGTCTTGAACATGACTGCGCGCAGGCTGGAGGAACAATTGAAGGATGTCCGTGCCCGACACCCGTCTCGTACGGATATCAAGCCGATCCTTGATGCACTCGAACCATGCTTATCTTTCGAGCGAAGTGGCAGCTGTCATCGGAGTGAGCTAGACTCGTGGACATCACATGCCCCTGGAGGGCTTTTAGGCAGTATACGAAGTGCCTTCCAGTCCCTTGTACTGTGGAGCGCAAGCCCCCACGTCAGTGTTGCACCGCACTCCTACACGCACCGACAACTCGTGACTGGCGTTCTGCTTCTTGGGGCCACGCGCGTTCTCGGTGCCTTAGTTGAAGAACTGAAGTTGCAGACCCAGACTGGCAGCGGTGATGTAGCCCTAGATATTGCAGCGACGCTGATTTGCGCACCTATGGCCGAATACTTTGCCATCGACCAGAACAATCACTCTCACCAGCCCCTAGATCCTACCAAAGAATTCTTCCCACGATGCCCGATCCTCACCCTCCGGAGCGCTCTCAACCTACTTCATGACAACATACCGAAGATTTCCGAAAAGGATCCATTACGCGCCGAAGTCATCGTCCGGCTGTATCGGCGGGTAAACGCACTCATGACCCCACCGGCCCAGGTCCCGAACTTGGATATGAATAACATAATTCAACACATGCAGCTTGGCGTTGGAGGCCCTGGGCAGATGGATCTCGACCCACAGGGAGCATCCGGGCATGGTGTCACTGACGACGACGCGGCAAATCTCAATCGCATGTTAGACAACGCGGCCGCTGCGGCTGCGGTGGGGATGGACGGAGGTCAGACCATGGGTGGTATGGGACTCGAGTCGTCGAGCGGACTGGATACGAGTATTGATGATGTTTTGAACGCCGCTGATATGGCGGTTGGAAATCCGGAGTTTCTTGACTTGGATATGGAAGGTCTATTCTAATAGAGGCTGTTCAAGAAGGCTGTACACTTGGCTGTCCGTCGCGGTAATATAGCATCGAGAATTGCAATGTACCTTCTCCGATTTGAACCCGAGTTGTCAATATCGCATGTCAAGCACCGTTCTGCGTACATGCAGACCTTCTGGTGTCAGGGTATGTATGACCAACCCCCCAGGCTACCCATCAAGTTCCCACTGAAGCATTGCCACTTGCCATGCGATAGCATTAACTAGTCTAGAAAGGAGCGCTAAGTATTCCGCCATGACGGCTATTCGAATAGAGATCAGTTAGTTGATTGCGTTATATATACATTCTCACGGCATGTCAATTCCCGTTGGGCCAACAGCAAGGTTGCCCTCATTAGGGGCTGTCTCTTGATCGTAGATGCAAATCGCTAGCCCAGCTGCCAGTATTCCTGGTTTCATTCTGGCGAGGTGTTTCTTAAACTAAAATATAGGCATGAACCTCTTAGCTAGACCACCCACACCTCTACATGACCGAACTCAATCCCACATTGTCTTTCTCCTCTAAAGAAGACCACTCACCTAGCGCCCTTAGCCCTTGGGCTCTACACAATCATTGAAACCCCGTTCCCAGCTTTTCCACGGCTTTGGGGATCCCCGAGCCCGGCAATATGGTATCCACGAGCGCCCAGGGGAGGAACTCGGGGAGAGGGAGGGCGACGACGGTGGATGCGAGAGTGAGGGTTAGGACGGTGATGATGAGGGATGTGAGAGAGACGTCCATTTTCAATTGATGTTGAGTTTCGCAAAGGGGAGAGTGGTATGGCTTGTGGGTTTTGGGGGGGGGGCGGGGAGTGGAATCTCGGAAGGCTAAAGGATTTGTCGTGTCGCAGGGTTGAAAGTCAGGAAGAGCATTCATCGGGTTGACCTTGTAGTCTTCTTATGCTGCTTCCTTGACATCACCTGGGGCAAAGGGATGAAGGTGTAGGGGTGGTGGGGGGATATTCTCAAGCAAGGGAGTGGCATTGAGGGAGAGGTATGTATGGTGTTTTGCATGGTGTCTTTGGAGTTGACGCGTAGGATACTTCTCAGATACACGCGATTGCTTTCCCGATGATTCGAGTTGTATATGGTATGGGAAGAATCAATAATCATACTAGGTCGTCAATTGCCACCAGTACGTTGTATATCGTGGGGTCATACTATTGACAAGAACCTCGAATGCGTTACGAGAGGTTACCAAGGCGGGTTGCACCAGGTTATCGTTACTGATGACTGATAATGTTAGAGTCCCTATGAAGCTGCGTAAGTATGTAGAAGTATTGTGTAGGCACCTAGTATATTTGAGCCCGAATTCTTCATGTTTGCTCGAACATTGATCAAGTTGGACAGGGCAGGACTACATCTGTAGCAACTGGTTCCGCGCAAGCGTCCTTCCAAGTTTTCTGCAACTTTTTTTTCTGCATGCTGCACAATTGCAGACCACTGACGAGTTGATGATATCTAAGAATAGTTAGCTTGATTATCTCGACTCCGATCGCCCTAAATGCGCAACAAGCCCCGTCCCGATGTGACAATGCACTCGACTCTGCAGTCAAAGTCACACGGCACGTGAAAGGGGCAGCAGTTGTCAACTGTCCCCTCTCCAGTGGGCAATTGGCAATTCTTCCACGAGTGAGTCTGCACGATTATTCGTGCTCGGGCTTTGACTTATTTGCCATGGCCCCTCTCCCGATGCACGAGCTGCATTAGTCTTCCTTCTAGCCTCCGAAGGAAGGAGACTCCCAGTAACGGAATATTCACCGGCGGGCCCGGCACTTCCTCTCAAGGTCATCTTCAGCCTCTCAAGATGAGACTACCGGGGGGGAGGGTTGATAGTCCTGCAGCATCGCCTTGGCCTGACCTGATTTTCGTCGTGCGGATGTGACATCGAGTCCATGTTCGTTGTACGACGCGGGTCTCGATCGCAATGGTGATGCTTGACACCTCTCACCGCAACCTCAAGCATGTAGGGATGTCTTGATTGACGGCAACTTCAGTCGCACCCTGCTTCGCATCATCACCGCAGGTCAAGCCAAAGCCAGCAAGTCTTCTGTTCACCTCATTAGTGCAACCAGCCCTGTCTGCACTCCACACTGACTGATCATAGCAAACTGACAGCTGCCAATCAAGTATACGCCGATCCTTCGGCTGAATATCCTATCAAGGCAGCCCGCCAGGCGCGAAATCCCAAGACTTCAAGTGCACCTGCAGAATCCCAAGTTGTCCTATGCCGACCCTGATTCTTCAGGTCGCGCGGTCGCTCGTGCAGGATTGAGCGATCAGCAATGAGTGGAGATACACGCGAGGCATTGGTCCGTGTATATCACTAATGCGTTCTTCGGCATACTACTCGGCACTAGCTGATGGTGAGGGTCCACCCATCCACAATCTGCTGCCGAGCGCGACGGCGTGTGACTTGCACTATCTTCCTCGAGCAGGGCTTCGATTGCCTCCTTTGGATCAGGTACATGTGTTGACTCGTATGTCCTCCTGAGCGACAAACAACAAGCTTGATAATCCCGGGTTTACGTACATGTCTTTGACACCCAAGCGTGGGTACAGAAGACGACCACCATGCTGTCCGTCAACAGGAGACTGCTTTTGAACCACGCCTTCCTTGCCCGGAGCTTTCCCAGCTCCTTTCTCCGTGCCATCGCGGGAAGCCAGATCAGAACTTCGAAACCGATGCAGACCCATCGTTCGTGACCCCGATGGGATCCAATGGTCGGGGAGCGGCTCCACAAAAGAGATAGAGTAGAGGCCACTGAACCTGATGCTTCGAGGGTTCTACGGAGTACTGAGTAAGTTGTAATTCGACATAATCCGCAGGGGGCAAAACAGTCGTACCGTAGAACCAATGCTAGAATCCTTCAATCTGTGCTGGGCGCCCCACGTTTGGTAGGGTTAAGGACTAGACTATTCGGTGCGGAGCACCTGGTCAAACACAGCGCTGATAGTCGTTCATGTTACTGTGTATGAGGGCATTGGAGTATCTCAGGAAACGGATGAAATGACTACTGTACATTCATACTCGGCTTGAAGAGGAGAATCTTAGTCGATCAGACCACTGAGTGAGACACGACACGTGAATTAATTCCTGAGATATCAGGCAGACAAGATCTCGGTCGCGATATGATTCTGCCTTGTGTGGACTGTGGAGTAGGGATGTTTTCATTTTTCACAACTACTAGTTATGAGTGGGGGGGGGTTGTTATTCCTTCTTTTGAACCCCTGAGTCGGATTCTCCTTCCTCCTTCCACCTACCCCTATTTGTCTCTTCTAACCATTCTTGTCGCGTACCTCCTTCTCTGCTTGTCTTGAGCAGAGAAGGTAGCCTCAGAACGGGATAATGCAGCAGCAGCAGCAGCACAAAGACAGGCGATGTCTTGTGTTCTACCGATGACCCACGGACTATATACACCGCCTGTGTCTCCTATCTCGCCGCTCTCTCCGCTCTCTCATTCCGAGTCCGCCTCTGTTCATTCATTGTTCTAATTTGGCCAGGCTAAAGGAGATCAAAGAGAAGCACTTACGCCAATGTCGCGCCGTCCCGTGTCGCTACGCTTAGAATGGTAGAGTACTCCGTACTCCGTACAGCTTCCGCGGTGGGGGGGCGCACTTGTCTCGGTAATTCGCTCTGACAGCACATCCCGTCCCTGAGCAGTGAGCACGAATGCGAATGACGGAGGATGAGCGGAAGCTGACGGACCATTAGGCTGCGAAGTCTCTGCCCAGTGTGACACCGTTGGTGTTTAGTAGTACCCATGCTCGAGTACTCTTCATCTTTGGTCTATGCTGCCTCAGTCGCAGCGGCCTGCATTGTGGAGGTTCCCAGCCTTCCCATAACCGCACTCCACCACCCTCCTGACTCTGTTTCAGAACCCAAGATCGATCTTGCCCCTCAAACTGTGCGACAGAATTGACTGCAGGAAGTCTCTTTGCAGTCAGTCATCTTTATCCTAGTATCTGGCAATATTATGGCTGTATACTCAAGTGCAAGACTCTGGTCAACGATTGATTGTGATCAGTGGTCACTCCGGATCCCAGACAGCACTGACCCTCACCGTTGGCCTCTGGCCCAACCGCTTCTAGGCCTCTCATCTTTAGTCCCGCATGCAACGACGAGCACGTGTTGTTCCTAGGCTCCTTTCGAACCACAATTCCGACCGGCTTGTCTTTCTCGTTTGGAGGATGGGCAGCTCTTTTTCTGGTCCTGGAGGATTGTGATCTACTGACACTAAACTCATTGGTGCGTTCCTCTTGGAGTATAGATCATCCTTTAGCGGCATCTTAGGTCATCTTAGACTTAGCCTGGCACTACTTGGGTCTGGACCTGACGCAAACGGAGCAACAATGGGATGTCGTCTGTTCTCCAAGGCTCTCTTCGACATCGCTTGCTTGCGAAAGCACAAAATGACGCTTTGACACGCACTATCAGCCCGCACTACCTTCACTTATCACAGCCCCGTCGATGCCATCCCATCCGGGTGGTGATAGCTGCGACCTGTCACATTTTGAATGGAATACGGGGTATCGTTGGGTAGTTAGTGGTAAGGTTTGATATGCCGTCGGATTGTCCGTCCCTTACCAAAACGAACCTTATCAGCACGGGGACGACTACTCCCCTGCTTGCGTGGGCAACCTGGAAATCACCATGAACCCTATGGAGCTTACCCCATATGGTATTACGTAGAGCCTCTCCCGTCGACGCAAGGTCCGAAAAAGAATCTGAAGTGTCTGGGAATTGATTGACTTCTCCGCAATCCTATCTTTTGAGTGGATTGTGGTGATCAGACCCGGGACCCGATTTCATAAGTGTCATGCTTATGTGGACAAATGCGACCAACGGAGTGAATGGCGTCTATGCGTCTATACCAAGAAGAACGGGCAATGCTTACCTTCAACACCTTTAGCACCTGCCTAGTAGTTTCCAACTACGTAGGATGTCAGCTGTCAGTCACGCACCGGCGAGCTTCTCCAAATAATTGCCGGGCCGACCACGGAGGCGGCGGTGTTTCGCATGGCATTAGAGTTCAACACTATCCATATTCGAATCACGCCACCGAGATCGGCTTCGATGCATAATTGAGCAATACAGTCTATTTTCTGAACTCAGTGAGAGTGAGCCGGGTCGATGTCCCAACCTCCACCTTGAGGTTTCCCGGTTCGAGTGACTTCCTTCAACCCTGTTGTGACCTTGACAGGAAGAGGACTTGAGATTGCCAACCCGCGGTGGGTGTACCATATACGGCCAGATCGGCGACGAGTGCGGTACTCCATGTATCGCAGCGCACAAAACCTCAAAGGCTATCTGATAGATAGTTGAGCAGGCCGTTGCCCTTGCATTGCCGATTACCCATGGCTCTCGACGATCCGGGGGGGGTTTCAAGGTACGGGTGAATACGAACCAAAGCATCGGACCTGAGTACAGTACAGTACGAATTCCTGGATGGAGTAACTGACAAATGGGCTGGATGTGGTGCGATCGGTTGAGGAGAGAGAGAGCTTCGCTGCCGGGACATTAGGGTGGTACGAAGTAAGTTACTGTCCATCGGGCATGGTAGCGAGCTGCAACCTAGACATGGATCCTATGCAGGTACGGGAGAACACATGGTCGTTCATTGGACACGCTTACGCTTGACGTTGACTGGTCTGATATAGAGCGGTGCGACAAACAACTTCCTTTGTTACTATCCTTGCGATAGCTCGGTCTTCGCTCAATGGAGTCATGTAGTCCCATGTCTAGCAACAGAAGATGTGTGAAACGACAGAAGTACTACTATGCGCAGTACAGGCAGTACAGGCAGTACAGTACGTACATTTGCCGCGTCCTTGGGGGTTCAGCTATGGTGGGTCAAGATGTATCCTTCCCTTCCCTTCCCTTCTTTATTCGGTGACATCCGACCTGTCACTAGATGCCGAGTGGCGTTGTCAATCTATCTATTCGGACGGGGTACTGTACACAGTACTTGTCCATTCCCAGAACTTGCGGTCGCAATTCTTCTTCCATCTTTCCATCCACCTGATTGTCCAACATCAATAGTAGAGCAATCCTCCAGTATACTGTGCGCGGTGTTTGCTCAGCAGAAGACCGGAGTGAGATTTAGTTAAAGTTACATACATGCTTTCCATGAATGGGTTTGTCCAGCACTAGTGAAGATCCTGTACCGTGCGGCCGAACTGTCAGATATATCAATCACTATCCCAGATATTGAGATTGCCATCAAGCTGTATGCCCACTGGATCACATGTCTTAATCGTGGACCACAATGAACAAAGAACGGGTACTCGAGCAAAGGCTACGGAGAATTTTTGGCCCACGGCGCAACACATCAGCCCCTCCAGGCGAGAAAGTACGACCCGATCGAGGGATTGCCCGGAGTTTAAATTGCCTACTCATACTACGGGTGGGGAGTGTAGGAAGTACTGTACGGTCCATACAGTTTGGCAGACGATCATCAACAACAGTTTACGGGAGTACGAAATACAGTTACATTTCGTGATCAGATCAGTGTGTAGTGTGTACTGTACTTGTACCCTTGTGGATGGGGGGTGTGGGTTCCAATGGCATGGAAACTGTCATTGCCGATCGCGCGCGCTCACCCCAATTTTTGGCTTTATTGATGATTGGGACTCGGGCGTTATCCTCAGGTGCTGTGCAGGACTGTGCCTACTCATACTATCTGGATACTCATAAATTTTGTTTTTTTTTTTTTTTTTTTTTTTTTTGCTGAGGATGAGCTGAGGCGATTCAAGAGAATCACCCGGGAGTGCCGGGCTAGAGATCAGTCCTACGGGAAGTAAAGGAGTAAAAAGATATATTGTGGGAGTCTCCGTAGTTTACACTGTAAGTTAGCTTTGCCACCATGGGGATTTTTGTGGCCTGGGGCTTCTGGGAGACTACCAGCTAAGGTTTTCAAGATGATTAGATATGAACATGAGAATTAGGTGAGTGACTCAATTTCTTGAGTCTCAGAGTTTATCAAGTCAATCAAGTTGCAGGAGTAGACAGAGAAGGGGGAAGGAAGGGAGAGACCGAGAGAGACCGAGAAGAAACCAAGCCAGAAAACAAAAAAGGTGCCTGGCTCAAATAATCATAATGCTGGGCAGTCACAGGCTGCTTCCAGTTCTCCACTCCTTTCCCAAAAGTACCACCACCACCACCACTCGGACCCCCTGTCGGCATCCATGCAGGTCATCTCACACTCTCACACACTCCCTCGGTGGGACGACGCAAAACCGGTTTAGCTGACTGCATCCTGCGTCCAGGAAAGGGGAGCAATTAAATGCTGATATTAACATCAATTTGAATTCTGTTTGCTGAGTGGCCAGGGGATGAGCCCGAGGTTATTCTTATTTTAGTACAGATGTATGCGCCTTGTCATCTTTTTTTTTTCTCTTGTCTTTTGCTCCAGAGCCATTCTTCCATCAGGCACAGTCATAGTTGTTAGGTTATAATTTCAGGTAGTAATAATACCTCCCCACCAAGTCCGAAGGACTGACTGTCGTGCCTTACTGATGGCGACCGTTTCTCATAGTCGAGGGAAATGCATTGTTATGGATCAATCACTCACTTGAGCACTGCACTGGGAGCTTGTTACCGGATCAGGCAATCCGTCATCTACGCGGGCGTACTGTACACCACAGTACCGTGGAGCTAAGCAGCACATATCCCGCTTAGGCAGACTCGCTGCAGCTAAATGTGCACATTATCGAGGTTTACCAAGTATCGTGGGCAATAATTCACCCAGCACCAGCATCGGGATCGAATTCCGTATGCCCTGAATCCATCACGCCCAGTTTGAAACCAATAGGAGGCACCTCATGATATCAGGGTTGCTGCTGGGATGGAGAGCTGCCTGGGCTGCTGCTGCTGCTGCTGCTGCTGCTGCTGCTGCGGGCAGATCATAACCGTTTGGGCGGGACTCAAAAGGTTAGCTGCATTCGGTGGCCAAGAGAGCAGATCAACCCAGAATAAGAAATTTCAAAAAAGGATCCCTGAAATTGGGGAGTACAGTACCATCGGAGACAAGTAATCTCTGAGATCAAACTTGACAGGGAAGAGGTGGAGCAACAGACATAATTTTGACTAAATAGATAAATACATAAAAAGAACAAGAACAATAGAGAATAGACAAGTAAGAAAAAAAGGGTATGCTCCTGACTCGAGCCGGGGAAGGTGCACGGGAAATACTGTAACTACCTAGTAGAGAGACGTGTTGCGCAATGTGACAAGGCCATAGGGAGAGAGATATATTAACAGTACTCAGTACAGTACCTAATGATTTTGACAGGCCGGGACGGTTCATCCTTATCACAATCCTTCATCCTTCCTTTTTTGCCTTACCACTCACTACCTACAGAGAGTCCTTAAGTTACGATATGCTGCTCTAAATAGAGGGCCGATGGTGTAGTAACCTTCTATCCACATACATCCTCTCTCTCTTGCTATTGTCTCTTGATCGCCTACTCCAATTTCTTGTCCTTTTACCCAAAAGAACCCACCCACATACGGGGAACCGATCGCCTGCTCCACGTCTCGATTGAGTCAGGGATGTGCTGCTGGATTTATCCACCGGTTCTGTGGAGACTGAATAAACCACCCTTTGGGGCCACCACTCGCCTTCCTAGAACTCTCTAGACCCCGTCACCTCGTCAACTAAACCTCTGAGCTAACTAAAAGAAAAATTCAAAAATTCAATACTAAATTGTAGGACCTTTACAAGTGACTACACTAGACTAAGTTAATTACTGTGATCTAGTTTGGAGTCTGGAGAACTCCTGGCCCGGTGCTTTGCCTCCCACTCCCCCTCCTCAATTACTACTTTGGGCTCTTCCCTCTTTCTAACCTGGAAACTCTTTTCAACATCTCCCCCCCCCCCCCTCTCATATTATCACTTTTACAACGCTCACTCCTCCACATACACATCCAAACACACACTTCTTCTTCCTCTCACTCCTACTTACTCCCTCTCTCTGCTCCTGCGTTATCGACCTTCCTTTCCCTTTCGCTCCCTCTTCCGTACAGATTGCAGCTTACTGTATTACTATACCGCTTTTACTTCAAGTTGTGCCGCATTGCATAAATATCTTACAGTCCTTTGCGACCACCCACTACCGTGGAGATTGCGATCATTCATTCATTGCTGCTGGTGGCAATTGGAAGACTCGATACCAAATCTACATCTTCGGGCATTACGGTCTGCATTGCATTCATTTCGGCTCTTTCAGTGGTGCTACTGGCTGTGTCCTGTCTTAGATCCGACACGGCCCTTGCGTGTCTCCTCAATCAACCCGCCTCAAACAATCGCGCTCGCGCTCTGTCGTCATTGTCACTGCAATCTGCGTCGATCGACCTCTCATTCGTTGCCCGGACCGCGCTCTTGCTCAGCTTGCCCTGTCCTTCTTTGGGGTCGCATCGTGGTCCTTGCGTTGGAAGACCCTCCACCGCGACCCTCGTTGCACGCTGGTCCCTGCGACAAGAAATTGACTTCGTCAGTCGAGGCCTGCAGAGCCCGTGGCTGTTATTCGCCCTACCGTGCCCTTCTTTGGGATCGACTGTGTTTTGTCCCTACTTTCAAAAGCACTGCAATCTCCCCGCCCTCGTGCGCAACCTCGCTCCTCGTTTCTGATCCGGCATCAAGGAACGTGTCTTTAACTACTGACACTCCATCAACTCTCCCTGCGAACCACCTGTCTTCATCGTACTCTCACAGTCACGCTCCTTTCCTCAGGTCCTTCGTTCTTCGAGATCGCGTTGTAGGTGCGTTAGCAACCGGTTGCCCTTCCCCAGCATTCCTACCAGGCTTCTTCCCAGGATTAGGGCATTCCACGGGAGATATGCAGAACCATCCATCCCCTCCCAAACATCCTCCCAAACACTCCTGCCAGCCCTTTACCAAGAAAAGCACGCCGTCACTACTGACGTGGGTGAAAGGCTCGCACCCTGTGCTGTCCGACTAACCCCTTCGACAGGTATCCATCACGATTGTCGTAACCCCGACCAGTTAATCTTTCGAGATCTCCCGCCTGGTTTGGTCAGCTGGTATGATCTCTTCTTGAATTCAACGTTCGACCGACTCTTCGCACTGCACTTCACTACGATCTAGCTGGAAATGCTCTCCAGTTCTTCATTCGCTTAAGAGTTGGGCAGTGACCTGTGCGCCTGCGTCTGGCCAAGCCTACACTCAAAATCGAAGGGGCATCGGACACTCGCTGCAAAGCGTACCACAATCAGAATGGATCCTCTAGAATCACCAAAACGACATATTGCCCCCCTAAAAATCGAAAAAGGGCATTCGAATTTTCACATGAACCGCTCCTATTCGGCTCAACATCGCCTCGAGATGAGCCCTCCTTTGACACCTTACAATGGGGGAGACGACAGCTCGGAAAAACCCAGGAATGTCTTTCATAATTATCTTCGCGCGTTCTACCCTTACCACCCGTCGGGCAATGTGTCCCCATCAACTGTCACCCTCCCGCTAGATCAGGGCGACATTATCCTCGTTCACTCCGTTCACACCAATGGCTGGGCCGATGGCACCCTCCTAGATACAGGCGCCAGGGGCTGGTTACCCACGAATTATTGTGAAGCATATGATCAACAACAAATGCGCCCGCTGCTCAAAGCATTGACTGACTTCTGGGATATTATCCGAGGCGGGTGCCGGCTTGCTGTGAATGAAACCGGCAATCAGGACCTTGTGCGAGGCTTGATTGCCGGGGTTCGCTATCTCTTGGTAGGTTTCTGCCATGAAAATTAAGTGTCTCCTTATGGCTGACATTGCTCAAGCAAAAATCCGAGTGCCTGACCCGCGACTGCATGCTGGTCACTAACCATGACGGGTTGCGCAGGAACCGCAAAGGGTTGCTGGCAGATCTATCGTCTCTGGTCCGAACAACCAAGAAGTTCCAAGAAGTTGCGACCAAACACACGATGCAGGATGATATTGACTACTTGGTGGATGAGATGCTGCTCAAGGCATTTCGAATTGTGACTCGTGGCGTTCGTTTCCTCGACGTGTGGAATGAGGAGGTTGGATTGGGTAGGACGATCGCCGAATTGGAGCAACAATCAGCACGCTACGACCTTTCGCCTCGAACGACCACCGGGACGCAGCCAGTAGCGGGAAATGCCCAATCAGAGGCAGAGGGGGAGACGGAGCGGAATGAGTCCAGATTGCTCAACCGCAGCCGACTAGATATGAGTCGAGCATCCACCCACATGGACGATGCGCAGCCGGCACGGTCTGTTTCGGTGGCCACCAAACGAATCTCCATATCCCACCGAGTGTCGTACTCGGGACCCGCTGCCGCGGCCCGGAATCTCAATCTAGCGTCGGAGCGACTGAACTCGTCATACGATGCCTTTCTTGGCGTGTTGGGCTCATTCATTGGCTTACATCTGCAGTCTCGGTCATCGACGGAACTAGTGGTGACCACGGAGCAGTCCGTGCGCTCCTGCCGGGCTTTACTAACCGTCATTGAGGCCGCTTGTGAGCATGACCCACAGGGCAGTGGGTTGCTGGAGCAGGCCAGAGACGCTATGTACGAGCGACTATCTGAATTAGTGTACGCTGCGCGGGACGCCTTCCGCCCAGCTCACTCCCCCGACGACGAACTAGTTTTTTTGCCCGATGAGGGGAAGCGCCTGGTGGATGCTGCTACGGACTGTGTCCGCGCGGCGGGGAACTGTCTGGCTAAAGCGCGCTTGATGCTAGAGGAGTGTGGCGACTTTGAGCTCGAGGCCATGCCGCAAGATACGGCCCCTGCGGCGATAATGCTGCCAGACCTGAACCTGACTCCGCAGCCCCCGCAGCCTGGCATTTTCGACAGCGACTC